CGCATGTCTATGTGCTATGTGTTTAATCGCTTTCTTAGGTTTTGGCATCTAGACATGCATGCTTATGTGTTATGTGAATTACGTGCTCACATGTCTACTTGCTTTAATTATGCGCATTACTCATATATATGTATGATGGATGCAAATGCACGTAACCGTGGCTAGTCCAATGCTAGTCATGGTTGTCCCCTTGAGTTCTTACAAGTCCAATGCTTGTGAGAGAGCGCTAGTGAAGGACTAGCCCAATGCTAGATCCAATAGGGCCGTCCCTCGCTAGTACATTCGCATGCCTTCATCTCATGCATATTTTTCACTTTTTTAGGGCTTTTCTTTCACCATATTGCGTGACACTTTCCTTATATATGTATACCCCTTTCCCCCATATTTTCCCTTATATGTATATTACTTGCCCCTTTTGTATGCGAACATGACATTAGATTGCATTTCATATAAAGCATTAGAACTAGGTTAGTTCATTTGCTTGATTAGATTAGGGAATACCCCTTGAATATGGGATATGGACGAGTTTGGCTTTTCTAGCCTTAGCACGCTCGTATTCCCTCTATTAAAGGAAAAATTGAGTCACGAACATTAGTCCCCCGTACCCGACATGATGCACTCCTTTAAGACATGTATATTTGTATAATTATTTTATCCTTTTCCTCTTCTTGGAGTCTCATATTTTTGCATTATTCGTGACCTCTCCAAAGAGTCATTATTGGGCATCACAATTAATGTGATTGGCACCATTCAAGCTTTGAAGAGAAATTTTGCCCCCGATGCCCCCCTAGGTCTAGGGTTTGCATTCATATAGTACATCCAAATGTGATAAATTCTTTGATTAAAATAAGAAAATCTTTGACTAAATCGCGCAACTAGCTATTGGCTAGGTTGAGAGGGTGCCTTGGACTTCGTCCTTGCCTTCCCTCTCTTCAAATGGGACTCCCGAACCTTTTTCTTTGGTTTACGTAGACAAGGAGTCGTTTAAAAGGGGTTTTTTTCTACTTTTTCCTTTGAAAATACATTTTTTGGTGACTTGGTACACCTTAACTCTATACCAAGTGGCGACTCCGATTTTTGTTCAAAAAAAAAACCCTTCTTAAACTATTATTTTGGGTCAAAACGTCGCATTTTCAAGTCCCATTTAGACCCGTGCTTTTTATTCATTTTTCAAATAAAAAATTCACTTTTTAAACCATTTATTTTATTTATTTTTCTTATAAAAAATGGGGCGCGACAAAAATACAATCCTCTAATCATCACAACCACTTGAAAATAGGCATCACTAGCTCAATTCTAAGCTTAACAACCAACTTGATTATGATTAATGGAGAAGAAAAAGGGTGATCAGCCAATATACCTTAAGACAAAGCCTTGCAAGAGTGATCCTTCACTTCCCTTGGCAAAATTTAGCTCCTTAAGCTTCCCAAGCTTCCAAACTAATGATTAATCGGTTTACTATTTCGTGTTTTCACTCATTCAAGCTCAAACCAAGATTGATTGAAGTTTCCTTTTCTCTTGTTCTTCCTCCCTCAACTCACGGCTGATATGCAGAAATAATGGAGGAAATAGGTTGGTTTTTGGTGATAAATATGGTGTAAATTAGTTAGTCAACCATCCAATGAAATACCGCCACTTGTCGCCACTAATTCCATTCATTTTTTCCCTTCTCTCTCTTGGTATTTTAAGTCAACAATTGTGGCTGATGTATGAGATATTTTGATGGTTAATTAGCTGTTATAAAATAAGAAAATTAAGGTAATAAAGTAGAGATCAAGTGGTGTGTTCAATCGGTAGCGCGCGACATTCGTCGGTCCGAGCCGTTTTTCCTTAAATCGCATATACTTGATTTTTTAACTTCTAATCACTAACTTATTATTATCACTTCTAATCATATAATATTTCCTCATCCAAAAGTCACTCTTACCAACCAAATTTGATCCTCACTCCGTACCGAATAGTCACACTACGGAAAAACGTGAAAACCCTAATTCGCTCTAACTTCGAAATGGACAATGAAAACCCTTACTTCTATATTCATTTACACTTATTGTGGGGTGATTGGGTAGTAGGGCCATAACAAATGTATAATTTCCAAATAAAAGGGCATTTTTAAGAAAAACGTGAGGGGTTTTACAATTCCATAAATTGAATTTCGGGTTTCGGTTAAAATATGAGAAATTTGAGAAAACAGTCAGTCACAAGTGAAACTAGGGTTTTGATTAGACTTTTAGGGTTTCCAGTCGTATAAAATAAAACAAGGTTTTAAATCAAACTCAAAGAAATAACTTTAGTTTCTTCTTTAAAACAAAATAATGTTTTAAAATAAAAATAAACTAAAGAAACCGTAATATCCTCTTTGAGACTAAACAAAAGATGATCCTAAAAGTTGAGGTATCACAATCTCCCCTCCTTCAAAGAATTTCGTCCTCGAAATTTTTTTTTTTTTCAAAAGGTGATTTAATATGCAACACAGTAAATTGACTGAAACAACAAGATATAACACACCAAATACACAAGGAGACATATACATAATATAATGCACCATATACACCAAGAAACATCTCAAGTTAGACAAAGTCAAGTGCAGTAGGTACTATATATGTAGGCATTAACATACCACAAGTGAATGACATGTAGGGATAATGCAAGGGCAAAATGATAGAAAACGCGACTTGTCGTCCCACACTCAGTGAAAAACACCCCCGTCCGGTTTCTTACTCCACTTCCCAAGGTGCCCGTTGATCTCTTGTACTCACTCTAGCCAGACAAAGCCTGTTCATGTTCCCAAAATGCAAGTCTCAAGTACTTAGCAGCACCACAACTCTGGAGTACACAGACACGAGAATCCGAAATAAGATAATACACCTATCGAGCTGCAGTTCCAAGAGTAAGCTATCTACAATCGAAATTCCTACCTGACGTACCTATCTATGCTCCTCAAATACCATGAGAAAGATTTAAGGCCTATAACCTTCACAATTCATGGCTTTTGCTCGAACGAGCTCTTAATCCTTCATACTTATTCACCACTTCATCCAGGTTCACTCCGCGCAGAGACCACGCGAAGAAGCTATAGGTTTTATCGTTCAATTGCTTAACTTTCTAATCAAATCAAATCCCACAGTCCGGCATCCCATACTTTAGCCTAGGAGATCGGAAGCCTAAGCTCTGATACCACCTGTGACGCCCCCGCTTCTCCCAAGGGCGAACCCTAGGGTATCGGCGGGACGCCTGCCTAACTCGCGCCAGGACTCGAAATTTCAAAACAATAAAACCTAGATAAACCAAAAGCGTACTATTCATAATAGTCAACTCCAAAAAAATTCTATTTACATCCCCAAAAGCAACTAGTCAATCCACTGTATTACATAGATAACAACTAGCAGAAAGTAAACCCTAAGGAGGGTCCTTATACAAACCACCAAAACAAAACAACCATCTTAATTGTCCAACTATTACAAGCAAACCAAACTATACTAGTGAATGTGCCAAGGAGTTCCCCGTGTCGTCCCCTGCTAAGGAAAACAAAGGAAACGGGGTAAGTTATGTGCTTAGTAAGTAAACAGGGGTAAAATCGTAAATTGCACATTTAGATAAACAACTATTTCACAAAATGTCAAGTCAAGTGCAAAAGTAACAATACAAATGAAGGATACAGGTTGGCTCCAAAACCAAAACGTATGTCACGTGTGATCTCCTGTCGACACTCCGTCGACCACAAATAATGGTCCGTAGAACTCCAATTGTACTCCCACCGTACACCTTATCACCCTCACTGGCCAGTCACCTCACAAACTTTGCTCGAGCGAACGAAATCACAAACTTGAGCTTGAGTCACAAGCTCGGGTCACAAACTTGGTTCACATTCTCGATGAACCGGATTCACAAAGTTTGTGACCTCAGACTAAGTTGGACTGGTTTCGACCAAGCCCTGACCGGCTCGAATAGTCCATCTAGGTCGGAAGATCAACCCCAACTTACAAACGTTCCCCCGAGCTACAAGCTCAAGGGGTTCAAACCCAAAACTCACGAACGTCACCCCGAGCTACAAGCTCAAGGGGTTCAAACCCAAAATAATTCATGTATACACATCTCATAAAAAATATAGGTACAAACTAGGGTTTAGATCGAGTGTGATAAAGTACACCCTCACCTAAGTCCCCCTTTTATTCACATCAAAATACATAAGCAGTTTATACACACAAACGGCCTGAATACTTACTCCAAAAGTACGTATAGCAAAAATGCAAGAATCACGTCACGTATACAGCTAGTAGGCCCCACCGGCACCGTCTAGCCCGTCACCGTCTGAAATAGAAGATTGCATCACAATATATCACAAACGGCCACTAACATGCATAACTCAAGTAAAACGGCAAAATTGGCACATGCAAGTGCGGAAACGGCACATGGAAATGGAGACGGACACGGAAACGGAAACGGAAACGGCCAGATTTGCCATCCTAAACCGTTTTGATCAAAAGTTAGGCTAGGAATGTCGGATCAAGGTGGGTGAGACACCGTTTCGAAGTTACGAGGAAGGGCTACAACTTTTATTTAGACATCTCAACCCAGATCTCAATAGGTATTCGTCTTGCCCTCTTCCTGGATGTCGTTGTCTTTGTCAGGTTTGGTGCGAGCGGGAGCTGTGAATTTAGGGGCATCGTCCTCGGGTTGACCCGTCGAGTCGTCCTCAAATGACGCTGCCATTGAAACACTTCGTAATATGGGGCTGTGTATTCCAGCGGTTGAGCAGGGATAGATGGAGGTTTGGTGGTCTGGACTGGGACACAGAACAGTGGAGGTTGGTGGTAGGGATGAAGGGTTCAATTTCAATTTTCAGAAATTTATGCTTCAGGTTCCGCGGAAGCTCTCCTCTTTGACGCTAATTTCTGGGTTCGTGCCTCAGTTCGGTGAAAATTCGCGGATGGAGATGGGGATTTCTGGAGCTCATGGCCAGTGGCGATTCCTTTCCAAGAACACTCGTGTTAAAGAAAATATATCCCAAAAGAAATTTCAATTGAACATAAGATCATTACTTACTAAAACTTAATTGATCCATGCAACATCAAAATCTTTTGACCTTTTGATGCAATGAACATAACATAAGCTCTTTATCCCAAGAACTAGGGAATGGCAAGATACCCCAACTAAAACTGCTTCCTACTTCATATCAAACAGGCAATAAGAAGCATAGAGACATGTCTTAAGAAATTTGCAAGTATGTTTGACGTGAATCATGTGTAAAGTACTACTAAAAGTTTCACAGCATGATCAGAGATTTTCAATTGAGAGAGACAGGAAAGACAGAGAGAGGATGATGTGAGCAGCAAAGATGAAGAGCATTATCAAATGTCATCCTGGAAGAGAGTCCTAAATTCAAGTAAAGATCAATAATGTCTACCATGTGGTGCCACAGAAATAGTTACCATAAAAGCAGTTACCAGTAAATAGTGTTTTATAGAAGCCTAGAAACTATTTCCATTTAAATTGGAAGCTCAGATTTGAGGAGATAATTACTAGTTTACGGATAAATGGCGCTGATGTCCCTTACAATATTATGGATACCTCTCTTGTTTTTCAAATCAGAGTTACCTCCTTTACTAACTTTCAGGTTTCTTGTGATGTACAGTCAACATAGAGTATTCCATTGACTGCTTCTAATACTCTACCAGTGACAGGCATACCTTTTAATAATATCAAATATTCAGAAATGACTATGTAAAATGACAATAAGCTTTAAGGCAGTTACTTTGTTTCAAAAACCAGAGAGGTTTCTCCAATAATGAACAAATCTATGGGCAGGTCAGTATGATCCACCCATTAATTATCGTACAAAGTTAGCAATCTAAATTACAATGTTAATCTAACTGTGATGACCATTTTGTAAGCTACATCTTGTTTCATACCCAAAAGAACTGGTCAATATCAAAGGTCAAAAATCACTATGTATGAAATCCCATTCATCATCTGTTGTAGCCTCAAGATAGTCATAACCATATCGTCAAGGAGGCTTAGGTTAAACTACAGGAAAAGCATTAAAGACACTCCTATTAAACTATCTCCATACTCAAAATGGCCAATCAATAAAAGGACAGGAGGACTAAACAAAAGTAGAAGAGAACTTACACTTTCAATGTCATTTTGCATATTTGAGATAGCACGTCTCACTTCTGATCGGACAGTTTCATATATTCCACTAGCATCAGCAGCATCACCTCCCCATTTGTCACCCTAAAATGATTGAAAATGACCAAAACCCATTAATCAGGAAGTTTCAAGACAATACAGTAGTTAAAGGTTTAACATTGAAAGGAGCTCAGATGAAAACTAGTAATTGGTGACCACTGCTAGTTTAACATATTTTTGGCCTTCACTTCTGGCATACTCATGCAAAATATGTTGAAGGAAACCCACCTTCATTTGTTCGCAAACAGCAATAATGGTTTTCTCTTCAGTTTCTGATAGGGAACACGTTGAAATCCCATCTTCCCAGTTTGAAAATTGAAAACTGCACTGAAAACAAGCACATCTATCAGAAGAACTGCAACTAAATGACGTTAAATAGATAAAATTCCATTGATCACCAAAATTTAACTCACAACGGAATCATCTTCAGAACACTCAGTTGCTTGGCCACGGTTGCTTGGCATTGGTGAACTCTTGATCCATCCCTGCCTATCAGCTCCATTTTTTACTGTATTCCCACTTCTCAAATTGTTAGCAACTTGCTTAAAGTTAAAATCTTGTTGAGCATTATTCAATCTTACCAATTCTTGCTCCTTATCACTCTGTATAAAACAACAATAACTGATCATTAGTTTTGACGAATACCATTAGAAATGCTCTGATACGTATACATTAAAATATCACAAACAGTGTAATTTAATAGCTGATATCCCTTAACGACATAAAGAGCACAAGAATTAACAGCTAACAGGGGCAATAAAGTGATTTAGTACAATGGCGAATTCCCTTTTTAGGTGCAGAAGCAAACACTATATATAATTCACTACATCAAGACAAACTTTGCCCTTTTGTGACAGTACATGTGCTAACTGTGGATATGAAACTGTTATCAAGAAAAATATCTCAACAATTTCATATTTATTTAAGTTGATAACTGGGATAACTGTTTCATGGAACCACTGAGCCAAACTAAGTTCCTCTTTGGGCTATAGGTCGGGGGGTCGAACCCCACCTGCAATGAAAAAAATCCAAAAGAGGTGTCAAAGCACTCCTGTGGTCTAGTCAGATCCTTATACCTACTAGCCCCTTGTACATAGCCTCTTTAGGCTCTCCTCCTTATAGATTAGGATAGATTAGGTTATAGAAATGTTATCGTTGCCGTAAAAAAAAAAGGATAACTGTTTCACGGGGATGCACTTATCTCTTTACTTTAAATTATATCAGCACCTTCATCTTCCTATAGATACGTATATCCTTGTATGTATGTATGTACTAAACAATTTCAGAAAAGAATTGCAGATGCAATTGATAACCTCATGTGTACCAAAACCATCCATTCAGTCCTCAATAGTTCAGTCCTCTCTCTCCATTTAAAAAATTCCAGACTTACCACATTTGACAAAACCCAAAGGATGCACTATAGGCAGAGACCAAAAGTTACTCCATTCTTTTGGAAAAGTTCAGGCTTGGAAGAAAACCCTTCACTGCCTCCATCAACCAAACAGTAGATGTGTACAAGTTTTTTCAAAGGGTTTTAAGCCTTTAGAGCCTCAAACCCTTAAGTGCCTAATGTTATCTTTTGATCATTCACACCCTTGACAAAATATCAATGCTTACAGTGTACAAATTGTTAGAAAAAAGCCAAATCAGGCCTTCAATTAACAAAGGGATTTTAACACTTTATATTGTCACAGGTTTGGTACCCTAAATAACCCAGCTTTTTGGCTTGAATTTCGTCGGTTTGTTGTTAATTTCTTAATCAAAGGTTCTGAGCTTTGTCTTCTATCATCATGAGGAACATTCTAACACAAAATGTGTGCTCTGCCCATCAATCTCAACAAAGATTTTAGGCATTTACTACATTACAGTAGTTAGCCAATTTAAATCAAGTTTTACCCATCCAATCGAATGCTTCTTTGGAGAAACCTGAGGAACCAAATCCGGTATTTTTTTCCCGGGTGTCCAAACATCAAAGGCCAAAAGGGCAATTATGCCCTTACTCAATACTACATCAGCAAATTTAAAAAAAAAAAAAACAATATAATGTAGCCTATAACAAGATAAAACTTCTGCAGATCACATTAACAGTTACATAAATCTCAATTATCTTTATCACAATTGTATAATATCTTAAGGGAAATCATTCAAAACGCTCCACATATTTTGCAAAATAACTTTTTTTATCTTTCACTTTTGAAAGTGTAATTATGTCCCTTATAAATTCACATTGGTCAAATTTGATCCCTATCTAGGTTACCAACTAATTTTTTTACCAGAATCCACTATGTGTCTTGCATGTGATCATTTTTAAGGGACAAAATTGTCAAATCACATTTCACATAATCCAATCTATAGTCCCTCACAATTCACAAAATATATTTTTTCGTCCTCCACATTACACAAAATATATTTTTTCGTCCCTCATTGATCACATGTACTAATAGTATTTTCTTTTTTTGAAAACCCATGTATATGTCTATTTGATTTCACCTGACCACTATATCTATTACATGCTATTCATAGTGTTCAGGTAAAATCAAATAGACATATATATGAATTTTCAAAAAAAGAGAAAACTATTCGTACACGTGATCAATGAGGGATGAAAAAATTTATTTTGTGAAATGTGGAGAATGAAAAAATTCATTTTGTGAAACATAAAGACAAAAAAGTTCATTTTGTGAAATGTGAAGGACTATGGATCGGATTATATGAAATATGATTTGACAATTTTGCCCCTCAAAAATAATTGTAGAATAGGGACCAAATTTTTTTCCAGCCAATTTCCCATATCGTGGTATAGGGACAATTTTACCCCTAAAAATAATCGTGGTATAGGTCAATTTTACCCCTCAAAAATATATATGGATTCCAGCCAAAAATTAGTAGAAATTTAGATAGGGACCAAATTTGATCAATCTGAATTGGTAAGGAATGTAAAACTAAACTTTTAAAAGTGAGACGAAAAAAGTTATTTTGCAAAATGTGAGGAAAGTTTTGAATCATTTTCCCATATCTCCTGGCCCCAAAATTTCAGAACATTATGCTTTCCAAAATCAAGAAAATGCGATCTAAACTAAAATTCTGCTACATCTTACCAATAAAATTTTGCAAAAAGAAAGGAGCAAATTCTAGTGCAAAATGTACAAAATCAATTAAATTACCAACTAGAAAGATAATAAAACCGAGAATATTGAAAACAAGACCAAAGAAACTTAAAAAAAGAAAAATGTTGACCTCATAGGATCGATAGCGTCCTCTAGAGACGGACCTTCCACGAACTCTAGACAAGCTACGCCCAATTCCATTACTCTTCAGCCCAGCAGAAGAATTCCTCGTAACTGATCGTCCCCTCTCAGCAGCAGTTGTACCCGTCGCTTTCTTGGTGACACTCTCAACAACCCTTCTCTGTTTTTCATCTTTTTCTTGATCATCAGCAGTAGAAATAGTACTATTAGCCGCCCAGAAAAGTGGGTTCTCTCTTTTGTTGGAAAATTCAGAAGAAATGTCGTTCAGGGACTGTTTGGCTCTGGAAACTGCGCTGACGCTTTGAGATCGTTGCCTTCTGATGGTGGGGTTTTGGGAATGGTGGGAATTCTGAGCGTTGGTGCAATTGGAATTTAGACTTCCCCCTCGTTTGGAGGTGGATTTGAAGGCTGCAGAGGCCATCTCTGCTGTTTCTTTTTCACTGGAATACTAAAACTTTGTTCACGGGAATATCGAGAGAGACAGGAAGGATAAAAGAAAAAACGGGTAATTTCAGAAACCTCTTCTAGGTTTCTGACAATTTCACTAGGCTCTCTGAAGTCTAAACAATTATACAAACTTCCCCTAAAGTTAAGGTTTTGATAATAAAATTAGTCCAATTAGAAAAAGTAACATTAAAAAATACTTTAATGAGAGAGATGAAACTTTTATTTCATAAATACTCCTTATGCATGTATATAAGTTGTATTAATAAAAGAATAAAAATAATTAAAAATTAAAAACAATTAATACATAAATTTTATCACTCAAAAAGTTCACATTTAATAAATTAGACAGCACAAATAAGTAACAAAACTACACTAATAATCATAAGATTCAACAAAATAGACTAGTCATTTCTTTTGATATGATGTTTGCTATGATTCTTGTGATTTTGAATAGAAAAAATTTTCTAATTTTGCTTTTCTTTTCCTTCCATTCTCCTTTATTAATATCTAATAATTAAATAATTAGAGCACTAATTAACTATTAGGAACTAATTAACGAAAATAACTACTGAAATTTCTTTAATCATGAGCGATGACATGTATTTACAAAATAACATCAATTGATATAACTAATGGAGAAATGAAGGAAAAGAAAAGCAAAATTTGAAAATTTTTCTATTCAAAATCACAAGAATCATAGCAAATATCATTCTAAAAGAGATAACTAGTTTATTTTGATGAATCTTGTGATCATTAGTATAGTTTTATTACTTATTTATGCTGCCTAATTTAATAAATGTAAACTTTTTGAGTGGTAAAATATGTGTGTTAATTATTTTTAACTTTTTATTATTTTTATTCTTTTATTAATACAACTTATGTATATGCATAAGGGGTATTTATAGAATCAAAGTTTTATCTCTCTCCTTAAAGTACTTTTTAATGTTACTCTTTTTTAATTTGACTAATTTGGTATCAAAACCTTAACTTCAGAAGAGATTTGTGTAATTTTATAAACTTTTAAGGGAGACTAATGAATTTATTAAAAACTTCAAGGAAGGTTTTTGAAATTATCCCAAAAATAAAGCACTAAAAGAAGTGGAGAGTGACTAAGACAAGGAAATGAGGAAGAAGGTCAAAAGATTTGTCTTAGATTCCTAATACTATCACTTTTTTTGATTTATTTGGGTAAATCCTCCAAAATGTACTTCACACTTTGCCAATAAAATTTTTTTTGTCATTAACTTTTAGCATATTAACTTTGCGTCTCTTTCAAATTCAAATTAACAAAATTTGGTCTAACTTATATTTTGAACTACATTTTAGTTTGAAATCACCACGTGACTCACATGTAATCATCTTTTATGTACAAAAAGATCAGATCCTATCTTTTTTATGATAAAAATTATTATGGATTGGGTTCGATCCCACTGTTTTTTTTAAAAAATAATACAGTTTAGATCAGATTTTATTTTTTTAGGCATAAAAATGAATATGGATCTGATAATTTGTTTAACTACAAATGGGATTTAATCTTTTTGTCCCCAAAAAATTGATCATGTGTGCGTAATATAATGGATTCAAGTTAAAAAGTGATCGAAAACCTAAGTTGGGACCAAATTTTATCGATTAAATTTTGTAAGGGACATAACATTATCATTTCAAAATTGAATGATGATTATATTCATTTGGTAAAATATGATGGATGTTTTGAACAATTTTCCCTTCATTTGACTCTTGGCTAGCCATTTTAGTTCTAGCTGATTTTGATTGATATTAGTGCTTTAGAAGGCGACTTTTATAAAAGTGGAGAAGAATGGCTAGTTCGATAAATTGAACCTGGTCCAACAAGAAAATCGGCAAAGGGATCGAGTCAATGAATTACTGATTCAACCAGTGCATTACAGTTGAGCTGATGAGTCACTAAAATAATATCTATGCACACAAAATAGCAACTTTAGTATACATTAATAGAATGTATACTAAATATTGTACTTGAAAAGATATATAATGAACATTTAAACATTAACAAAGGACTTAATTTCATTTTATTGTACTTATACACAAATAAATTATGTAGTCAAATATAAAACAAAATTATTTCACTTATTTTTATTGAAATAGCATCAATTCCGTTTGGATTAGTTGTTTTTGGGATTTTTTTGAAATATTTTATTGTAATAATGTATATAAAAAATTTTTACTATAGATGTTTTTGGTATTTTTTGGAGATATTTTTGGGATATATTTTGGGGCATTTTTAAAGTTTAAAAATTTTTAGGGTGTTTTAAAAATTAACACTATCATCCATCACCACTAGGCATGTCAATGGGTAAGATATGGTTTGAATCCCTTTGATCCGGCTAATTTCTCAGAATATACATATAAAAAAAAAATCTGCCAAATGAAGGTCTGACTAGAGGTATTTCTCAAACTATATCAGCACGGCAGCAAAACAAAATTTTCAAATTGGTTAGGAACTAATTTTTTTTAAAAAAAAGTCAGCTGCTGCCGTGCCGACTGTGCACGGCAGCAGCTGCCAAATTTGTTTTTTTTAAAATACCTGTCCCCTACCGTGCACAGTCAGCACGGCAGGGGACAGGCGGAAAAATGCTGTGGCTTTTTGACAAAGGCGGTCAAAAATAGAAGTTGGACTACTTGTGGCTTTTTGCAGCCCAAATTCCGACAGGTTTTATCGGATTGTAAATATTTTAACCCACGATCAATTGTCATGACAAGTGACGAGAACAATAAAAAAGAAAAAAAGTAATAATCTGCAAATGTAGTTAAAAAAAAATATAGAAGGAAGATTCTTGGAAGATGCAAAAATGTTGTTTCGAAAAAAATAATGATCCGACAATTAGGGCGTATTATTACGTACGCCAAGCCAAAGTAATTATAATAATTAATTCCTGCTTATCGGAATACATGAATCCTTCTTTAATTAACAACTATTATGCATTTAATAATGGTTTAATAATAATACAAAATTTAATTAAAAAATGTTACGATATTTACAATACAAAAGGCATCTTGTCAATGAATAATGAGGTTAGTTTAATGTATTTATTTTAAAAATTAATGAAATGGAGTATATTTAGGATTATGGTTAAAATCTAATTTACTCAGGTTATTTTGAAAATTAAAGTAATGAAATTTATTTAGGATGGCTTTAAAATTTTAGTTTACTAAGATTATTATAAAAATTATATAACCGACTATTTCAAAGATTATAGATAAATGAATAAAGATGTACTTAATTTACTCGTTACTTGTGATAATGATTACCAGTTATATTTGGTAATTATGTTTAAATATTTTACGGTAACCAAGCATGTAAATATATATGTTCATTAAAAAGTTTATAACACATTGTCACTTACATGTAAATTAGGCTTACTATGTCAAGCGATAACTGTATGGTACTGCAACTATATTGGGGAGGAAAAATTGTATACGCTGGAGGCTCAATTTTTTACGACCCACCTATGCCCAAAAAAGTTCTCTTCCTAACAAAAATGGTGGGATACGATGAATTATTAGACAGAGTATACAATATCATGGGTTTAGATCGGAATAGGTAAAGGATAAATTTGATATTTCGAAATAGCCCCCAAACTGGTATTTTTGGTGCGATGCCTTTGGTTGATGATAATAGAGTGGCTGGTATGTATTACCTAAAATCTGGTAGTTGACAACCCACTAAAATTTATGTTGAAGTGGAGGACATATCGAATTATTGTGGTAATGATAGTCAAACCTTTGAAATTGGAAGTGGGATTGAGGTCGAACCACCTTGCTATTTATTCGACACTTCGAATCTCCACTATAGTCAGCTTATTCAATTAGAGACGGTCGATGATCTCCCGTCCCGAACAGGATGACGAAAAGGCAATATGCGCTGCAGAGAAATTGACCATCTAACTACCAGTAGTCGGCCAATTATGCATAAGTCAACACTTAGGGCTCATGCTGCGGACATCCCGACTTCCTCAATGTTAGACCCTCTTCCGTATACTAATGTTGATTTAGTTGATATCGAAATTGGTTCCGAACTAGAACCGGATGATGATGATTCTGGTAGTGACGACGACCAAGATGATGTCTATCCTATTCATTCCATCCAAGCACGGGATCAGATGACATTTACCGAACCCTGTTTAGGAAGTGAAGGTCCCAGTTTGCGATATGAAGCAGGAGTTGATGCTGTACTGCAGTTTGACCCTCTCGATACTCGAGAGGCCGAAAAGCTAAAGTTCTGGAGTGAGCACACGAAAGAATTGGAGTTGGGCCAACTGTTTGAGACGAAAGAGCATGTAAAGCGAGCAGTTAAATTGTGGTCCATAAAGAAGAACAGGGAGTTCAAAGTTCGGGCTAGCACACCTATAACTTGGTTCGTGCGCTGTAGAGCCCGAAACTCCACACCTCCGTGCAATTGGCAACTTCGTGCAACTCTCCGTGCCTCTCACAAAATGTGAATGATCGTGTCACTTGTACCCGGGCATACATGTGTTCGTGTGTGCAATACCAATGACCATCGGGGGTTGAGTGTCGATGTAATTGCCCAACACATTATTCCCCACATTATCAATGGTCCGCTATACAAAGTAAAGGAAATTCAGACTTCTATGAAAAAGGAATTTCACGTCAATGTGATGTACAAAAAAGCTTGATACACCAGACGCCGGGCAATTAACATTGTTTATGGTGATTGGCCGACATTTATTTCACAACTCCCAACATACGTACAAGAACTCCAATTGTCCAACCCTGGGACAGTTGTAGTTTGGAACCATCATCCATTGAGTATAGCATCACAGACGATTTTTGACTATGTATTTTGAGCATTTGCTCCTGCTATCCAAGCATTCCGTCACCTGAAACCAGTCATTTGTGTGGACGGTACATTCTTAAAGGGGCCATATCGGGGAAAATTGCTAGTAGCTGTTGGGTTTGATGCCTGTAACCATATTTTCCCTCTAGCATTTGCACTAGTTGATGAGGAGAACAATCGAAGTTGGAG